GTCCTTTATTTTTAGTCTTATTTATGTTGTTCTAGCCTCCTAGGAAGTGTTTCAGACCATGTTATTGTATAGATTCTCATGTACTCAATGACACCTAAATTTTGGGGAATACTGTAATGAGTCGCGGTATTTTCTTATTAGTACTTATGAGATTTTCTCTTGAACTTATATTATTATGTTTTCCAAATTTAAAAATGCGTGGTTTTATTGTGAAAGTTGGCTTGCCTAGTATTGTGATAGGCTCCATCACGGCATGTGAGATTTGGGTCGTGACAAGTTGGTATCAAAGCCTAGGTTACATAGGTTTCACAAGTCATGAGTAGGTTTAGTAGACTCTTGTGGATCGGTACGGAGATGTCTGTTCTTATCTTCGAGAGCTGTCGAACCCTTAGGAACTTCACATTCTTGTATTCTTATCGTGCGAATTTGCTGATTTCGATAACTAAACTTCTATTATTCTATAGTCTCACAGATGGTGAGGACACGTGCTATGGGATCGGGCGGACGGTCACTAGTACCAAAAGCTAGGGCCACGAGAGGTTAGGGCCACGGTAGAGGCCGAGGTGCAGCTCGTACAAAAGCTAGAGCAACACTTGTAGATCTACCAGTTGCTCCTACTCAGGAGCATGTTCTAGAAGTGGTTGAGCCGGTGAGACCAGCTTAGGCACCAGTTGTGTCCATTGTGATTCCAGGCCATCAGGAGGCTTTGGCCCAGATATTGATTGTTTGCACTAGCTTAGCTCAGGCGATTTTAGTTCAGGTCGGGGGATGTACTTAAACTCCTGCCGCCTATACTCCAGAGCAGGTGGTGCAGGGACTTCTGTTACATCTCGCGTTTTCGTACATTAAAAGTTTCGTCTTCAGTTAATTGACGTAGACTCGGGGATGAGATTATCTTGAGGTTGACGTATTTATGCTATTTATAACAAGCGATAAGTAAGTGTCATGAAGGATAAAGGGTACACGGATTAAAGAAAATGAGTTTCGTTGAAGGTTGCCGATTTGGGATAAAATACGGGTCGAGCGATAATACCCGATATTTATGGACTAGTACCATACAAGGTACTATATAACTGTGATAGAATGATGTATAAAGTATATTAAAAATAAGTAGAATTTTAAGTAATTTGAGACAATTTTTAATTATGCGGGTAACTGGTTAATTACCGGACAACGGCATATTACCTAATTAACTAATAAGTGGATAAAGTTTAATAATTTCCACCCCTTAATACGTGGCAGCTAGCCACATTGTAAAGAAATGACTAAGTCATTTCTTTGTTAGGTGGAAAAATAATACACCTTCACCCCATTATTTTCCATATTCAGTAAAGACTAAAATCATTAGAATGATAATCATTCTTACATCAAAGCTCATTTTGGTCCTTATTTACTATCACGTAGCAATTCTACAGACTCAGAATCTTGAAACAAAAGGATCAAAGCAAATCCTTTTGGTGCATAAGGAGAAGTAGTAGTCTTCATGGTGTTAATAGCCACAAGAAAAGTTCCTTTCAACCAAACCTAAAGTTAGCCATCTTTACAGAACATCTTGCAACCAAAACTTTAAAATCCAGAACGTTAGCAAGCTGCAACAAAACGTTTTCCAACCCAAAAATCCTACGACAATTATTGGAAGCTTATCAACGTACAAATTTTGTGGTTCTAAAGGAGTACGGTGCAACCTTTTCCAAGAATATCATACGGATTTTTCCCCGCTCCAGGTATGTTAAGGCCATTCCTTCTTTCTTTTTGGCATGATCCAAATTATACAGAAGAAACGAGTAAATGCACATTTTCCATAAATTACTCTTTTCGTAGAATGCTAGAGATGTGCTTATTCTTATTCTCCCATAAGTCTTATTATTCTATCATCTGTTCATGGCTCTCAGAAAAATACGTATTTGATAAGGTTTATCCGAAAGGTATATTGATTTTTATGGCATTCCGAGAACATCCTATTAACGTATTTCTTATGCATCTCATGCATCGTATTCATTTACACTGACCCATGATCAGATTGCGTTATATACGTGTATATATGTATAGTATATGTATATGGGCTATGGGAAAAGGTTACGGTATTATATACGCACCACCACCCGATCAGTTGGTATATGTTGATGATGTTGCCCACAGTGGCCGAAACGGTATGATGGGATGCCCTTAGAGGCTTGATGATATTATATACACCTATACCTATGCATGACACGATATTTATATGCACGTGCATGACATTATAAATGTTTCAGAATTTTACAAAGTTATTCATATTTACAAATGGATTTCTTTATTCCATGTTTCATCTATGTCTTTTACGTACTAGTTTTCATGCCTTACATACTCACTACCTTTTTCGTACTGACGCCCTATTTCCCGGGGCCTGCGTTTCATGCCTGCAGGTGCAGGTAGGAAAGCTGAATATATATATATATATATATATATA